GTGGCGCTCCACTCCGTCCTGGCGGACGTCGCGGTGAATCGACGCGCTTTGTCGGTGTTCGTCGAGGTTAGCGAGATAAAGACCGCACGCCGCTCGGCAGCATCGTGTGAATCCTCGGGTATGGCCCGTCGTGGCCGTGGGTTACATCGGGGCGTGCCGGTCTCTTTCCTGGTGTCAGAGTTTTGACCCAGGCCCATACGCCTGGACCCCGTAGGGCGAGACGGAGCCCGCGGCCTCGGGGTCGGGCGAGGCGGAGCCCGCGGCCTCGTGGTCAGACGAGACGGAGCCCACGACCTTGGGATCAGGTGAGGTGAAGTCCGCAGCCTTGGGGTCGGGCGAGACGGAGCTCATGGCCTCGGGGTCGAGTGAGGCGGAGCCCACGGCTTCGGTGTTGGGCGAGACGAAGCCCACAGCCTCACGGTCAGGCGAGGCGGAGTCTGCGGCCTCGGTGTCGGGCGAGGCTGAGCCCGTCCCTAGAGGTCGGGCGAGACGAAGCCCGCAACCTTGGGGTCGGGCGAGGCGGAGCCTGTGGCCTCGGGGTCGGGCGAGGCGGAGCCTGTGGCCTCGGGGTCGGGCGAGGCGGAGACCACGGCCTCGGTGTTGGGCGAGGTGGGCCCGCACCTAGAGGTCGGGCGAGGTAGAGCCCGTGACCTTGGGGTCGGACGAGGTGGAGCCCGTGGCCTCGGTGTCGGGTGTGGCGGAGCCCGCCCCCAGGGGCTCCCCAGAGGTCGGTTGAGGTGGAGCCCGCGCACCTAGGGGTTGGTTGGAGCCATAGTCGTGCTCTTGACTGCTCAGATAAATTAATGTTGATGACCATTAGCCTCTCCTCTTTGGGTACCCTAGTATTGGTCCACGACAGTAGCCCCCGAGCCTACGGAGGAGTAGAATACTCCTTCGGAGGCTTTTCCGAACGAGAGGACTCTAGGGGCCTTGGCCTTCTTTTGTTGCTCACAGCGTGACCTGGGGACGGTGATTCCCTTTCATCGAGATCAGGCTCCTTGGGGGTATAGCCATGAGATTTGATGGGTCGGAAAAGGTCTTTCCTGATTTTGACCACTATGGGGGTCTATCGTTCTGCAGCCGTGCATTCGACATTCGTGTGAATCCAACTTTCCTCGAGCCCCTGTCCGTAGCAGGGATCCGATCAAGGATCAGCTCGTCTTTGTGATTGTTTTCCCTCGAGCGTTTTTTCCGATAAAAACGGAGGAGCTGAGTTGTGCCATGATTTTCCTCTATGGATGAATCATGGTGCTCGGTGAGCTGTTAATGGGCTAGTCCGAGTGGGGCCCTGACATCCCATTCGCAAGGATCCGTCTTGGGTCAGCTTGGTGACCGACTCAAGATTCTTAGTGGTCAATCCATATAGTTCTCGGGTCCGTTCGACCGGTCGTGAGGGCTCTGTGCCTTTCTTCAAGGAAAAACCATGGATCGTATTCGTCCGAGACTCGAACGTGGGCCAGGATGCCCACGGCCCTCGTGCGCCCGGGTACTGGCCGTTAGCGGGCCCATCCCTTTCCACTCCTCACTCTAAAGGTGCCCGGAGCGGTTGTCGAACCCATCGGTGGGCCAACCTTCGAACTCTTGGGCCTAAACGGGCCGTATGAGCGTTTTTAGCTCCGTATCCCTTTTACTTGTGTTCAACTACATATAATTACTGATATAAAGGAATAAACTATTTTAATGTTAGTGGATGATATGGCATGCTGATGTGGACAACTATATCTTTATTAGTGGATGATGTGTCTTACTAACGCGTATACCATAGTGGGCCGTAATTGATCTGACAATGGACTTAGTTTAATTCTTTAGTTGCAAAGCCTTTTAATACATAAACCCCACTAGAGTTCTAGTTTCACTAAGTGTGAGTTTCATTTGCATATGCATTGCGCTTAGTGACATGGTGAGGTGCAAGAGAAAACCCTTGAAAAATAATTGTGAAAGGCTAACTCACGTGCGCAAGTTGTTGGAACACTTGAAGAGTTAGAAAATTTGAAAAAGGGGGAAAAACTAGTGCTTGGAGGGTTTTGGTGAGCACCGGATTGTTCCGGTGCTACACATAAGGATGTACATAGAGACTAGGGTTAGTCACCAGATTGATTCAGTGCTAAACCCTAGGGGGCATCGGACGATGTGCATGCAATTGCTAAGCTATCTTGGGAGTTTCAAAGGTGGTCACTAGATTGACGATTACTAGTACGAGATCAATTCAATGGCCCAAAAACCTCTCTAGTCGTTTACTGGAAGTCATTGTATTGATCTGGTGTGTTGGTAGAGGGATCACCGGACTATGTGTTAGAGGTGAATTCGACCACTGGGCTTAACGGCTAGTTCTAGCTTTTCGACTATTGAGGAGGCATCGGATTGATCCGATACTACCACTGGATCAATCCGGTGAGTGCGCAAAAAAGTGTTGTTTGTTCCCAACGCCTCTTGAGTGGTGGGCTCTATAAATGGTCGCTTGGCCGGCTCTTTTGAGTCTCTTGGCACCCTTGTCTGATATTGTGGCATACATAGAGCTCAAGCAACCACTCCAACTCACTTGCTAACTTCATGATCGCATTCATGTGAGATTATGAGTGATTTAGTGCATTGCAAATTGAGATATTGCATTTGGTGGCACTAGGTGGTCTTTGTGACTCCGGATTTCTTGTTACTCTTGGTAATTGTCATCACCTAGCTGGCCTGATGCTTGTGAGATTATGGAAGCGGCTCTTATTTATTGTTGTCAATTCCGGTCATTGGCTTTGTGAGGAGCTTTGTGCTCATCCCCATGGGAGATTCACGAGGAGTAACTATTGTGAAATCAATTGAGGTTTGGAGAGGTATTTGGTGATCTACCATCTTCTATGTGAAGTGGTGATCTAAGGATCCGCCTCAACGGGGACATAGGTTGCCAGCAAGCAACCCAACCTCGGGGGAAATTCTATGTCACTTGGCCTTAGTGGTTCGCTCTCTCAGCACCTCCATTTACTTTCATATTTTGTTCTTGTGTTGTTGCTTGGTAGCCTAGCTTAGATCTAGTGAGTAGTGTAGTGTAGTTGCTCTCTTTGGTAGCTCACTAATTGCTAGTTGGTAGTTCTAGTTGCTTGTTTGGTTGAGTGCTTAATTCTTGTTCTTGCAATTAGACTTGTGTAATGGGCTTGTGTTATATTGACTAGGCTAGACAAGTAGTGGCTATTAGGATTGTCTCTTTTACTAACAATCTTTGCCTAGTGTTTTGATTTTGTAGAACATTTTATTAGGCTATTCACCCCCCTTAGCCATCCATAGATCCTTTCAAGTGGTATCAAAACCAAGTCACCATATTTGCAAATGTTAAACCACCCATGGTGTAAAGGATGGCCGCTCAACGCACTTCTAGTAGCTATGCTCCACACTTTGATGGCACTGGCTATGACTATTGGAAAAGAAAGATGTGACAAAACATCAAGTCAAGAGGGAGAAAGATTTGGGGGTGTGGTGGAGAATGAGTTTGTGGTGCTTGATCTCAAGAACCCCACACCAAGAGAGGAAGAGCTATTGCAACCCAATGATCAAGCCCTTGACATGTATGAGGTGCTAGATGACAAGGTGTTTGAAAGCATAAAAATCGTGAATATGCTTTCCAAGCTTGGTCAAGGCTAGAAGAAGCTTATGATGACACTTCAATCAGCTCCTTTTCAACTCCCTTTTCGAATGCCCTATCTCCCAAATGTTGTCCAACATGAAACAACTCCTTTGGCTCTAAGTTAGCATTTTTCAAATATTTTTTCAATGGATTTTCACTTGTGCCTCACTCCATCACTAGGTCTAATGCATATGCAAAGTCATTTCACACCTAGTGGCACTTAGATAACTTATTAGACTTTAGAGTTTCTCTCTTAATAGTACGATTGTCTATCCTAAACCCAACCACACACACTATTGCATCTCGGCCGGTGAAAGCAAAATCCCTAGCATATACCTTTCCATTCAATTTCATCATAGGGTTTTGTTTTTCTCTTTCTTCTTTCCAAGTGTGAGCTTGCATCATTTGGAATGATCACCCTTCATCCAACTCCTTGCATGGAAAAACATTCATACTTGCCTGGAAACTATATAGATCATGTCTTTAAATCCTTGGTTTTTTCCATGCGTATATGGAATTTTACCCTTGATAGCAATCACCATAATAATATCGCCCCACTTTTTACTTAATGAAAATCATTCATACCTTTTTTACACAAATAAAAGTTGATAGAACTAGGAAGGAAGAAAAAGAATAATTGGTCCAATAATTCAATATTTTTAGTAGCTTCTGTGCAATTTATGGTAAACTCTAGCAGTTTTATTTATAAAGACCATGCATGGATATCATTGCATTTGTGGTCCAAACCCAACAAACTATATCAGCCAACAGCGTACACTTGTCCTCAGTGACATCAGCCTACCTAAGACATAAGTCAGTTTATGTCCATCCACCCACTCTGTCCCTATATCACACTATCCACGCCCCTAGGTCCCCATCTCTAAAGTCCACTCACAAAGAAAGCCACCGAGAGATGACGTCTCCCTTGATTTCTTTGCCGAATCCTCCCTTCTCTCCACTGTCACCACCACTAACTAGGTGATCCTCGCCGAGCTATAAATATCGACCCTCTCACAACTTCTTCAAAACAGCCAAAAGTTCCTCTCAACTTCTCCTCTAGCAGAGGCGGAGCCACCACTAGGGCGAGCTAGGCGGCCGCCCTAGGTCCCCTTGGCCGGGCACCGTATCCCACCCCCTGGAGGACGCCTGGAGTTGGAGCTGAAGGGCGGCGGCCGAGGCGAGAGGTAGCGAAATTTTTTACCCAAAACATAAGTTGTGGTTGGTAGCGAAAATTTTAGAGTATAAGTCCACCCTAGGCCAATTCTCGGGCTAGATTCGCCATCGTCCTCACGGTGTTCAAAGATCGCCATTGCTAAGGCTCTGCATCACCACCATCGATTGCCAACGATTATTCCCACGCCAGAGGTATTCCAAATCACAACCTCTAGAGGCGATGAAGATGGACGACAAAGATCCTTTCCCACCAAGCGATTTGGTCGAATCATCAAAGAATGGTAATTTTCTTCTTTTTACAGCTTTTTTCTGGCAGTTTCTATCCTTCGGAAAATTATTTCTACCCTTTTGAAAAGAATAAGAGAAAAAGGGAAGAAGTTTTCCCTTTATAGCCGGAAAAAGGGGGAAAGGAGTTAGCAAAACAAAAGGTAAGAGGCTACAGTTACATCTCTCTGGTTGGGCCCCACTAAGCCCATAAGTTTTTGGCCCAATAAACAAAACCCAACTACATGATTAGCGCTGGCCTGGGTCTCGAAATTTAAACCCCAAGCAAAGCAGACCCGACGCCGACAGCGAGGCAGCGAGCCAGGCAGCCAGGCAACCCAACGCCCACGGGCCACGGCCCACCTCGCGTATTTAAACCCCCGCCTCCTCTGCTGTCGCATTCTCCCTTCCCAATCCTCTGGTCTCTTCTGTTCCCGTTGATCAGGCAGACTCAAGTGCGTCGAGGCGGAGAGAGAGACAGAGCGAGCGCCTTCAATATCTTCTATTCTACGAATCCCCGGTACGCGCTCTGCTCGATCACCGCAGCATCCTCCCGATTCGAATGCTTGCGTTTTCGCCTGAATTTTGGGATGACCCTCGGACTACTTGGTTCCGATGCTTCGAGGTAACCGTTGTGTTTGTAGTGCTTGTTTGGATTTGTAGTCGATCAGTTTTCTGTGATTCCTGGTATTTGATGATACTTGCGGAGTTGGGGTTCGTGCGCGAGGCTCCACTGGATGATTCGATGGTTCGAGTTTCCCCCCGAAACTTCCGATTTCATGCAGTGCTGCTACGAAATCAGAGCAGTTCAAGCAGCGCGACTACGCGAACGCGTTCGAGCTCCGTGCCCTGTTTTCACTGCGCTCGATTGCACGATCCAATTCGAATTCCGAGCTCTGCAGTTTCCGTGTGTTTGTGCGTCATTTTGCTCGCAATCCGTTATCGTGTTTTGCAAATTTTGGTTTCCGAAATATATCGAGAATATGGTATCTGCAACGCTTATCAGCTTCCTCGAATGCAGAGATGGACCCCAGCAACGACTGCGCCACCCCGAGAAGCGATGGCCGCGGCAGCGGCAGCGACGGGAATGGGGGCCGCTCGGCGAACACCTCGACCTGGAGGGTGTGCTCCTCCTAGCCACCCCGGTGGCAACGGACAGCAGCATCATCATGGAGGGTGAGCTCCTCGACGACGACAACGAACCAGGTACCCCCTCCGGCACCAGGCGCTCCGCTTCTCTCGTCGACAACAACGGACTGGGCACCTCCTCCAGCGCCAGGCGCTCCACCTCCGTCGACAACAACGGGCCCAGCAACAGGGTCTCCATCAGCGACCTCGACCTCGTTTTGGTCTCCTCCGGCTCTCAGGGCTCCAGTGGAGGTGGGAGCGGCGGCAGGCGCAGTGCCTCCAATGATCAGGTAATTATTCGCTAGCCACTTGTGAATTGTGATCTCATCTCATAAACGTTTCGGGCACACGCTGTACCTGTATTGGGGGTGAATTGGTGATGTGTTGTGGTGATATACGGGATTATAAGCAGGATAACGTGGGTTAATGGTATCGATACATTATTTGGACGACTGCGTTTTGTTAAAGCGGGTTATGCTGCATGTTTGACGTGGTTTGAAAATGAAAGTCAAATTCTCAGTGCCATTTAGCTGAAACTGTTTACCATAATGCATTGGTAGATCATGTACGAAATTTAGTTCATGCATTGATTTCATATGGCTACATCTGTAGGGTAGAATTTGGTAGTTTCATAATCTTTTACTTTGAATTTCTTATGCCTACATTTGAGGGTGCAATTTGCTAGTCATTTGTAGGGAAAGGAAGTGATATGTCATCGGTTTACTATTACTCCAAATAGCATTGCATCAGTGGTCTAAACTACTTTACAGATATGACTGAATATTCCTAAATCACGTGCGGTACAAAGATAACCTGTAAGGCTGTAACCAATTCTTTTGTTGATTAGCGCCATATATCATTCATCAAGACATGGACCTGCTAATTAGAAGACATGCATGTTCCCGCATTTGCTCACTATTTTTCTTAGAAGGAAACCTTGCCGTTTATTTTTGTATCTGAAAGTTGTTTCATTGTATTTGGTGCTTTTTTTGTACTTGTATTCCCACCAGTGCTGAATAGAAATGCTCCTGTAATTTACCATACCAACTTAAATGAAGGGATAATTGAACTGTTTAGAAAAGAAGAGGACTGTGGGTGGAGGGAAATCTTCTCACTCTTAGCAAATCCGTGCTCTGGCACCAATAATTAATAGGGACAGAATCGTGAATAAAATCGAGGAAGTGGAACTACTGAGACTTGAGAGGAATATGGCAGCACTCAAATATGCAGAAACTGATCAATCATTTCTGTTTTCATTCAATTCTTCAGTTTCCCCAGAGGGAGGGACATCGTAGGATGTATGCCCCAAGGAACAACAGATATTATGAGGTAAATATTTCTGGGGCCATTTGTATTTATTCATGAGGTTTAGATCAAATGATACATGATCTCCTGCATGATTTTGTAACTGTATTTGTTTCTTAAAATTATGAAGTAGTCTGATAGCACTATTGGGGCATCCTCTTGCTGCGTAAATTCAGACAACAAGGCAAACACATCTAACATCTTACTGTTGCTTTCTTTCACAAGGTTCTTCCCTGTTACTGAAATAGTAGTAGTGAGTAGGGATTAAGCTCTTTCGACTCACATTTTGTCTTGTGGATTACATAAGCCTGAGTAGTAGCTATGTCTCCTTTTCCTATGCTTATGTCTGGTAGTTATCTCAGAGGACGAATCGGCTGTTAAGTTCAGTTGAATGCGCGATTGCCAAAGTTGCTGTTACATTATGATGGAAAACAAACATTTACGATTCTTTGAATTGAATCAATTGATTAACCTGATATCACTAGGTTTGGTCTTAGTCCCTAATTGTGTCAGAGTTTATAAATTGACCCTTAGGGGTTGTCCAATGAACAAACATCTGAATGAACTAGAGACATAAGAACTGAGCCACTGACATAAATGATGTTCCTTTCAACAGAAGTCAGCAATGAATAAGTCTTCATCCTATCTGTTCTTGTTATAGTTCAATGTATTTTCAGGCTACATCTCATATATTTGTTTTGATATTGTAAAATATACATCTCACAGACGAATTTTATTGGGGAATTCCATACTTCCATAAGAGAGTTCAGCTTTAGCTTCTGTTTTCAGTAGATAATTCCACTGGTAGATTATGTTACCAGTGATGCATTTAAACTGTATAAATAAACAGAAGTTGTACACAATCTAGAGATCAACTACCGTACAATTACGATACTCCTCATATATGTGGCTGCAAATTAGCAAGAATGTTTTCGCGGACATAAAATTGAACTTCATTCTTTTGTTTCTGGCACTATGATGCTAAAAAAGAAAGTGTTGCATGTGCAGATGTAGTTCGGTCATCAGGCTAATGCCGGTCACAACTGTTTAATGCCGGTCACAAGTGTTTATTGCAACCTTAATACTGTTTCTTCTTTCTGCTGCCTGAATACAGACGTTCAATTTTTGTCACATACACCACACAGTGCTTTGCTTGGCAATGATTTCAGTTACCTGCAAGTTTTTAGTTTCTCCACCTAAAGTTTACTCCCTATCGTCTCGGATGTTTGGACACGTGCATGTAATATTAAATATAAATTAAAAAATAACTAATTGCGCAGATTACGACTAATTTGCGAGACGAATTTTTTTAAGCCTAATTAGTTCATGATTTGACAATATGGTGCTACAGTAAACATGCATTAATGACGGAGCAATTAGGCTTAATAAATTCGTTCTAAGAGATTACTGAGGACTTTTGTAATTTGTTTTATTATTACTATCCGAACTGACATCCCGATGTAACACATGATGTAACATCCTAAACTTTAAATTTAAACACCACCTCGAGTGAAAAATGAGATGAAAATGTGCGGGATGATGCTACTATCTGCTGCATCTATGATTGCTCATATGTGATGTGCTCTTAACCAACGTCAACAGATGTCATTTTTCGGTTGATAAAAATAATCTCTGGTTCTGATTCTTTTCACGAGGTTTCACATACATTTGTGTGCTTCTTCTACAGGCAGGATCCTCGAGCCGGCAGCCAGCGCCAGGGCAATGGCAAGGTGTCGGGTCCGCCCAACATCCAGATCCAGCCCCAGCAGGGGCCGGAGTTCCCCTACCCCTTCAACTTCCATACGCCGCCGGGCTTCCGCATCCTCCCGAACAGGAACTTCCAGCTGTTGCAGGTCGGACCGGAGTGCCCCATCTGGGTGCCCCCGCCAACCCCGCCGCCGTGTGTGGGACCGAGATTCGGTGCCGGACTGAGAGTGCAACTGTACGGGTCACCTGCACTCTACCCGCCGCCCGGCGTCACCACCATGATCATCCCCAGGAGGTCCTAAGGACTCTATCCGCCGCCCGGCGTCACCATCCGCCACCCCCCCAGGACCCAGGCAGCCGGAGGCAACGCCGCCGGAGCAGACGGTACCATCCAGGTCACCATAAAGTCCCCGGCTGGCCGGCGAAGGAGCTTCGTGTCGCCGCCCAAGCAGCCGGAGTAGCCCAAGATGCGTCCGTCCCCAGCCGGTGCCGTTATGCGCGTGTGCCGACGTTCAGGTGGCCCCGATTGCGGAGGAGGACGCAATCTTCACCGAGTGGCTGCATGGCCCCAGCCGCCGTACCAGGAGGCTGCCCGTGTTCCAGGACATCTGCCCTGGCGACGAACCTAGCCAACCCCCTCCTCCTCCCCTCCGCCTCCTCCTCCTCCTCCAAGCCAACCCCCTCCCCCCCCTCCTCCTCCCTACCCCGTCGTCTCTGCAAAGTCGTCTACTTTTGGGACGATTCTGACGGTGAGTGAACTAGCATTCGAAACTTCCTCGCGCCCTCGCTGCGGTAATGACTTTCGTGGGCGCGCGCTCCTTTTCTGCTGAACCTTGAGTAACTGCTGCTGCGTCGGATTCCTCTGCAAACAAAATGCTCTGGTCTGTGGAGCTCGGAACCAAAGACATGTAGGACAGGGCATCCGGAGTAGTATGGTATACCTGGATAGCCAGGGCAGGACAAGTCCAGCCACCTCAAGTGCAGGCTGCTCTGTTGAGAGCTGAAGGCTCATCGTCTCTGGACTGATCTTGCCTTGACCATTTCGGCCTCTTGCAAAACTAGCTCTTGCCACAATTCAGTCCTGAGAAGTGGTGTAGTAGCATTTGCTATCTGTCACGCATTTTTTGCTTTTAGGTTTTGTTTAAATTCAGGATATTATATAAGTGTCATACGGGGTATCGTATGGATAATTCGGATACTAATAAAAAAATAAATTACAGAATTCGTTAGAAATCCGCGAGACGAATTTATTAAACTTAATTAATCTGTTATTAGCGCATGTGTGTACTGTAGCATCACATTATCAAATCATGGACTAATTAGATTTAAAAAATTCGTCTCGCAAATTAGTCGCAAACTTTATAATTAGTTATTTTTTAGTCTATATATAATATTTTATGTATATATCTAAAACATTTAATAGGACAGGGAGTAAACTTTACCAGGATGAACTAAGACTTTATTTCATCTCTGCCAGGTTTGACATCTTCCTCTCGACGGTGAAGAGAGAGCCAACATATACTATGACGAACAAGCGGACTGATCCAGAAGCGGAAATCCAGAACTCAGCTCACATACCAATCGCGCGCATGGCTATGGCTCTGGGTTGAGCTTATAAACCAGAATCAATCCTACTTTTTTTAGTCATGGAGCAATGTTTTTCTTTTATAACAAATCAGCTCTATAAATCAGGCATATCAGCAATAAGTCACACCGAACTCAACGCCTACGCTGCCTATGCACTAGTACACTAGACTAGTCACTGTAGGGAAGACTGGTGTACATATATGGGACATGTCACATGTGCGGTACAGTCTTTGGCCCCGTCGGCTTACCTTAAAAGCCGACTTATTCGGTTTTTTTTTTATCTGGAACAGTGTTTTTCTCTCACAACAATTCAGCCGGAACAGTATTTTTCAGCCAAATTCAGCCAAGCGAACGGGGCTGTTCGTTTGGGCTTGTTTAGCAGCTAAGCCATGACTGAAAGTATTATTAGCTGATTTAGTATGAGAGAAAAATACTATTCGTTAGCTGATAAGTCGTGTCTTATAAACCAAATACGAGGAACAGGCTGAGAGCTCAGCGCCGTCGGACGGCGAGGCTGCTCCCTTCACCTTTTCCTTGGCCGTCTCAGCGGCGTCCCGCGTGGCCCTTGCAGTGGACGCCGCCGCCTGCTCCACCGTCTCCTTGCCCATCTCGAAGCTCCTCTTCGCGGCGTCCGCCAGAGGCGGCGCTCCCGGTGGCGGCATCGTCGTACCTTGGCACAAGGAAGGACACACACGGTGACGACGTCACATACGTACGTATCCTTAGCTGATAAATACTGATTAGGCTATGCGGCACACAAGCAACGGAGCAGGAAACCGAGAGCTAGCTAGTTCACATTCACACATGACATACCGTGGCTCGTCGGAGCACGGCCGCCAGAGCTTCGTCCACGTCAGCCTGCTGCGATCTCCAAACGGGCAACCGAAAACCATGCGCATTAACCTGTTTCCGGTGGCCGCCACGCCACCAGACTGTATCCTTCGATCACTTATGGATGGGCGGTGCATGGGCCACCGTTTCCGATCCATCACCCTCCCGCGTAGGTCGCAGAGGGCAGCATTCATTTTATATGACATGTCATTTTTGGAAACAGCGTCATGAAATTATTCGCTGCGAGTGACCTGAGAAAGACATTATGTTTTTTATAAATTTAAGATTAACTTGCACAAATGACATATATAGAACTTCCTCTCTGTGCACTGCATGCGAATTCACTTTCTACAGCTCCCTGCACAAGCATAAAAAGTGAAGCGAAGTCTTAGGGTTATCTTAACTTTAACTGTTTCAAACTTAGATTATAAGCTATTTTTGTATGTTCTGATGAATTCACTGCTACAAACAGATTTTTTAAGACGTCCTTTTTTTCCAAAGCCTGTGCAGAGGGACAGAATCGTGAATAAAATCGAGGAAGTAGAACTACTAAGACTTGAGAGGAATATGGCAGCACTCAAATATGCAGAAACTGATCAATCATTTCTGTTTTTCATTCAATTCTTCAGTTTACCCAGAGGGAGGGACATCGTAGGATGTATGCCCCAAGGAACAACTGATATTATGAGGTAAATATTTCTGGGGCCATTTGTATTTATTCATGAGGTTTAGATCAAATGATAGATGATCTCCTGCATGATTTTGTAACTGTATTTGTTTCTTAAAATTATGAAGTAGTCTGATAGCAATATTGGGGCATACTCTTGCTGCGTAAATTCAGACAACAAGGCAAACACATCTAACATCTTACTGTTGCTTTCTTTCACAAGGTTCTTCCTGTTACTGAAATAGTAGTAGTGAGTAGGGATTAAGCTCTTTGAATCACATTTTGTCTTGTGGATTGCATGTTCACCTCTCATGAAGCCATTTACATAAGCCTGAGTAGTAGCTAGGTCTCCTTTTCCTATGCTTATGTCTGGTAGTTATCTCAGAGGACGAATCCGCTGTTAAGTTCAGTTGAATGCGCGATTGCCAAAGTTGCTGTTACATTATGATGGAAAACAAACATTTATGATTCTTTGAATTGAATCAATTGATTAACCTGATATCACTAGGTTTGTTCTTAGTCCCTAATTGTGTCAGAGTTTATAAATTGACCCTTAGGGGTTGTCCAATGAACAAACATCTGAATGAACTAGACACATAAGAACTGAGCCACTGACATAAATGATGTTCCTTTCAACAGAAGTCAGCAATGAATAAGTCTTCATCCTATCTGTTCTTGTTATAGTTCAATGTATTTTCAGGCGACATCTCATATATTTGTTTTGATATTGTAAAATATACATCTCAAAGACGAATTTTATTGGGAATTCCATACTTCCATAAGAGAGTTCAGCTTTAGCTTCTGTTTTCAGTAGATAATTCCACTGGTAGATTATGTTACCAGTGATGCATTTAAACTGTATAAATAAACAGAAGTTGTACACAATCTAGAGATCAACTACCGTACAATTACGATACACCTCATATATGTGGCTGCAAATTAGCAAGAATGTTTTCCTGGACATAAAATTGAACTTCATTCTTTTGTTTCTGGCACTATGATGCTAAAAAAGAAAGTGTTGCATGTCCAGATGTAGTTCGGTCATCAGGCTAATGCCTGTCAGAACTGTTTATTGCAACCTTAATACTGTTTCTTCTTTCTGCTGCCTGAATACAGACGTTCAATTTTTGTCATATACACATACACCACACAGTGCTTTGGCAATGATTTCAGTTACCTGCAAGTTAGGGAATTCAGAAGTCGTTTAGGGTCCGTTTGGTTGGAGCCAAAAGCCTAACCAAAGGGACTGCTTTTGAAGGCTGTTTTTCCAGAAGCAGCTTCTTTTCTGTAGTACATTTTTGAAAGCTGGTTTGACCGTGCTTTTGGCTTTCTGCTTTTCGAAATTGGTGGAATAAAAAACTCTTTCGTAGTTGTTTCAATAGAGATAAAGATAGAAAGTATATTTTATACTTGTTTAACCAAACAGCTTTCAGCTTTTGTACAGCTCACAGCCCACAGCAGCTTTCCCACAGCTCATAGCTCACAACAGCTTTTTCCCACAGCCACAGCTCAACCAAACACACCCTTAGTTTCTTCAACTAAAGTTTATTCCCTATCACCTCAGATGTTTGGACACGTGCATGTAATATTAAATATAAATTAAAAATAACTAATTGCACATATTGCGACTAATTTGCGAGACGAATTTTTGAAAGCCTAATTAGTCCATGCTTTGACAATGTTGTGCTACAGCAAATATGCGCTAGTGATGGATTAATTAGGTTTAATAAATTCGTCTTGCGGATTACGAAGGACTTCTATAATTTATTTTATTATTACTATCCGAACTGATACCCCGACACGACACTCGATGTATACACCACCTCGAGTGAAAAATGAGATGAAAATGTGCGGGATGATGCTACTATCTGCTGCATCTATGATGGCTCATATGTGATGTGCTCTTTACCAATGTCAACAGATGCCATTTTCGATTGATAAAAATAATCTCTGGTTCTGATTCTTTTCACGAGGTTTCACATACATTTGTGTGCTTCTTCTACAGGCGGGATCCTCAAGCCGGCAGCCAGCATCCAGATCCAGCCCCAGCAGGGGCCGGAGTTCCCCTACCCCTTCAACTTCCATCAGCCGCCGGGCTTCCGCATCCCCACGAACACGAACTTCCAGCTGCTGCAGGTCGGACCGGAGTGCCCCATCCCGGTGCCCCCGCCGACCCCGCCGACCCTGCCGCCATGGGTGGGACCGAGATTCGGTGCC